TATATATATATATACATACATACATATAATACATATATATAATATATGAGTAATACAAACTCAAGAAATAAAATACATGACATTGTTTAAAATCAATATTTCATCGATTTTCTAACGAGATACTCTTACCTCCCGGCACAGTGTATTTGCTTTGTTTTGTTTTGTATTTTTTTTTTTTTTTTTTTTTTTTGCCGGCGTGAGAAAATGATTGTTGGGCGGGTGAGCGTGAGAAGAAGAGACGCTGAGGCGTGAGACTTGGTAGGTCTGCATAGAACTATTATATTATATCTCTATGGAACAACTAGAGTGCTGACAAGATGGCGAAGCAATGCAGAGTTGTGTATGTGTCATAGAGATACAATAAGAATACTAGAGCGCTAACTGCAATGTATTCGATGTTCGAAATAGCTCTATGGTGTACCATCAAAGATGGCTGCCATAGATTCAGCCAATTATGAGCCAATCAAATTTCGCCTAAGCATTATCATTTTCAATGGCGCCCTAAATTTACACAGAAAGTTCAGTACAGCAGCGTTACCCGTATGTTTAAAACTCGAGCGTTGCGGTGTGTGGGTGTATGGGTGTAATGTACACGATTTCATTTGTTTTAAATTTTTGAATAAGATGCTCTACTTGGCCTCTTTTTGGCTAAAGGAAGTTCAATAATTTGTTATTATCAATACTAATTATCATTAATGAAATAATAGTCAGTCAGAGGTCCTATTTATGGTAATAATATGTATACTAAGCCTGAAGGTGGCGCTTTCCTACGGCGGCCATCTTGGATGGTACACATACATAACTCTGCATTGATTCGCCATCTTGTCAGCACTCTAGTATGGAACGCCGTTACTGCCTTCTGTATTGATGTTTCAGTTTTAAAAGCGAATATAAAGAATAACAATTACGCATGACTCATGAATTTTGTCTGTTCAGTTTTCCAAGTGCGGTACGTATTTTGCGGACCAAAGCCGAGTAAAAACGCAATTGTTTATACACTTCGTAACCATCTCAGAAACCACTAGATCGATTTTATGGGTGCAGCGGTTATCAGAGGCTAAATTTATTGTGAAAACAATGTACTGAACGTTGTTAAAATTGGAAGCCAATATTTTTACAAACTCAAATGTGCACAATTTCTACTGTAAATGATTTATTCCTTTTGTATACCCGTACGTATATACTAGTGTTTAATATTATCTACATACATAGGATTACTGTTTTTCCTAATTAAAAAAAATATATAGATAGCCATTATTAAATAATAATTTTACAGCCTTTGACACGGACATGTCCATCTAATTTGATTTATTGATACCAAAAATTTACTCCAGTGTTACGTTGACACAATCTCGCAATGACATCATAATAATAATCAGTGGCGGAATCAAGTCGGGCCGAGCCGACCTAAATTTTTCAAAATTATTTTTAAAAATGGAAAAAATTTAGGTCGAGAGTGCCATTTCCGGCAATCTAGAGGTGTTAAAATCAAATCATAAATTTTCTTTCCTCAGCCCCAACCATAGTGGGGCTGAGGTGATCTACTCTCCCAGATTGTGCAAGTCCCTCCGTTCCCCCCTCTATTTCGCTTTCCTCTGGAGCCGCAACTGATAATGATAAATTAAGTAAATCACCTGTTTGTGAAATCAAAATGCTAACTAATGTTTTGTGTGCTCCCTATCTCCCTAGTCCTGTTTAGGACGTATTATTATTGTAGTCGCAATATTGCTTACACAATTGCTTTTGAAATTCAAAATGAGGAGAAAAGCAAAAGTTTTAAAAGTACTGTACATGCAAAAAGACTAAATTTATGACTGTTTTAAGTTTTTCATGGTTCGAATTTTGAATACGTCACAAGCTAATCAGTGGATATAATAAATCATTATTTTTATTAATGTTTTTGCACGAAATATATAAGCTGGCATAATTACGACTAAAACGATAATTTTAAAAACTTTTATGATGAGTATTTCAGTGGCAGATTCAAGGGGCCCAGTCGGCCCACCATCCCTAATTTTTTTGTTTCGAATTTTGAAAGTGGAGAAAAATGAAAATTATATTCAAATTAAGTCTGAGAGTGCCATTTCCCACCAACTAGAGGTGCCATAATCATAATTTTTCTTACCTCAGCCCCAACCATGGTGGGGCTGAGGTGGTCTACACTCTCCATCTGTAAAAGTCCCTCTCTGGGCCCAGCTCTGTTTCAAATTACTGGATCCGCCACTGGATATTTGGAAAATTTTAGTATGGAAAAAATGCATTGCTTAAAATAAATTAAAAGGCTATAGGCGATAGAGCTTCCGGGTGCTTCGCCCCCCTGTTCCCAAACCAAGGCTTGGAAAAAAGGTTAAAAGTGGAAATATAGCTTGGTGGTTCCAACAATTCCAGGGCACTGGGTTAGGGTGCTTAAGATGCTTGCCTTCCAGCAATTCCAGGGCCCTGGGTTCAAACCCTGTGACACTCCCTAAGCCTCTCGTACACTTTTGCTGATTAGGCATCACATTACTTCATTTATTTAAGAGTTCTCCCGAATATCAGTCGACCTTCTAGACTACGCTGGAAGGGTTCCCTCTATCTATGAATATGGTTTTCAAAAAAAGGTAAGGTCAAGGAAACTAATGGCATTACCCATCATACACACCACGCGTATTGTTCGATATTCAGGCACAGGGCATAGTGACTGCTCCAGTTGCTTCTGGTTCAGCATTTAACAAAAAATAACACATGTTTAAACAACACATTTATTGAAGTTATTAAAACACAAACAGAAATATGCCGATTGAAACTTTAACAAATTATCCAAATAATGTAACCATAGTCTTAAGTAAATTATATTACAAGTTACGCAAAACCATTCAACATTATAATTATAATATAACTTGTAATTAATTCACTTTAAATCAACTTAAAATAAACTTCAATTAACATCCCTTTAACACTGGATAATTACTGTTGAAATTCTTCACTAAAATACACTGAATTTTCTCTTTGCATCTAAACCTTTTGAACAAACATAATCAAAAAGCTTATCTGCTTTGTTAGTACAGTAAATGCTAATATTCAGTTGGTAGAGAGTAAGCACATGCCAATGATGTTTATACTGTGTTTATTTAACTACAACAATGTATGAAAGATGTACTACTATTACTTCAATAACTTCATAATAGCTTTATTAATTTTATTATGTTATATTAAATGATTTTAGACTATGTTATGATCTTGCTTGCTGCCTTGTTGCACAGTAACAAACAGATACAGACACAGATTTCATCATGTGTTTATCATGCCTTACTACACTTCAGTCAATTATGTAATACTAAACACTCTTTGATGTCACTACATGTTAACAAGTGTTTATCATGCCTTACTACACTGCAGTCAATTATGTAATACTAATACATTATGTTATGATGTCACTACATGTTAACAAGTGTTTATCATGCCTTACTACACTTCAGTCAATTATGAAATACTAAACACTCTTTGATGTCACTACATGTTAACAAGTGTTTATTATGCCTTACTACACTGCAGTCAATTATGTAATACTAATACTGTATGTTGTGATGTCACTACATGCTAACAAGTGTTTATCATGCCTTAGTTCACTGCAGTCAATGATGTAATACTAACACTTTTTATGCCACTACATGTTAACAAGTTTTTATCATGCCTTACTACACTGCTGTCAATTATGTAATACTAACACTTAATTATGTCATACACGTTAACTAACAAGTGTTTATCATGCCTTACTACACTGCATTCAATGATGTAATACTAACAATGTCACTACATGTTAAAAAGTGTTAATATGCCTTACTACGCTGCAGTCAATGATGTATACTAACACTTTTTTAATGTCACTGCATGTTAACAAGTGTTTATCATGCCTTACTACACTGCAGTCAATGATGTAATACTAACAATGTCACTACATGTTAAAAAGTGTTAATATGCCTTACTACACTGCAGTCAATGATGTAATACTAACACTTTTTTAATGTCACTGCATGTTAACAAGTGTTTATCATGCCTTACTACACTGCAGCCAATGATGCAATACTAACAATGTCACTACATGTTAAAAAGTGTTAATATGCCTTACTACGCTGCAGCCAATGATGCAATACTAACACTTTTTGATGTAACTACATGTTAACAAGTGTTTATCATGCCTTACTACACTGCAGTCAATGATGTGATACTAACAATGTCACTACATGTTAACAAGTGTTAATATGCCTTACTATGCTGCAGTCAATGATGTAATACTAACGATGTCACTACATGTTAACAAGTGTTAATATGCCTTACTACATGCAGTCAATGATGTAATACTAACACTTTTTTTAATGTCACTGCATGTTAACAAGTGTTTATCATGCCTTACTACACTTCAGCCAATGATGCAATACTAACACTTTTTGATGTAACTACATGTTAACAATTGTTAATATGCCTTACTACATGCAGTCAATGATGTAATAAAATGTTCAGAATGATTACAATTGTTTATAATACCTTACTAAAAATATTTTCATATCACAATAGTACTAATTTTTCTCCATTTCAGTTAATTCATGCTTTATGTTGTGGGTAATACAATAATGTGCTATATATTTTAATATGTTGAAGATATACTACAGTACAAATACAGTTACAACATTAGGCCACTAATATTTCACTATATTCAATGGGTCACAGTAAAACTGCAGTAGTCAAAATCTGTCCTTTATAACAATTAACCAGTACAGCTATTACAAGTCAACAAATTTCCCCTTACTATTTTAAGCAATTCCATCCAATCACAATTGTGATTTGTAACAATTCTAGCAGTCTTACCATTATTATAGTTTATTATCCCCTTCTATAATTGTGATATAACACTGCCAATTCACTTGATGTTACCATTTTAAGAAGTTTTAGTAAAATCTACCCACAAATATTCAGATTTCCTGTAGTAATAATAATTTTAAAATTGTATAGCGCAATACTTTTCAAGCAGTTTCAGTACCCACTATTGTGATTAAAAATACTTTTTCCTGTAAATATACCTAAAGTTCTGTTGATAAAAACATTAAGATCTAATTAGCTATTGAAGTAAGTTGGTCAAAATAAAACATGCTAGTTAAAAATAGCAACATAATAAATAACAACTATTTGCTTTTATTTCTAATAAACCAATCATTCTGAAAAAGAGCATACATTAACTTTATTATACACACCATACAAATACTAAATTAATTTCTTTTACCCATGAAACATCTGGATTTTGAAATTAGTCTTACTTAAAAAAAATTCAAACCAACATTTCTGTTCTACTTCTCACTCTGGTTACTATATAATTCTGCTTTTCACATCTTAATGAGAATCATTAAAGTTCTCTTGTGCTATGATCTATTGTTAGCACAGGTTGCAGATCCTAGCTTTCCATCCATTCACCATTTCCGCTACAATAGAAGCCTCTTCGATTGCTCATTGCAATACCATCATTCTTTGTTAAAAGCATGGAGTATGATGGTCAAATTCCATTGCTTTCTAAAGTCCCTGTAACCTTTCCTGAAGTCCCTGTGACCTTTCTCAACAAGGCATCAAAATGATCGTTCAGGGACAGTGCCGAGTAGTTTGTTGCACACCATGTATTCTTCCAAGAGAAAGGTCAGTAAGAGGGACAAGGGGGACTGGTGGAGGCTGAGAACCTTGTACGCAAGGTTGACTTGCACCGCCTCTCAGACTGTCTGGTCTGTATGTATGCTAAATCAGGTTGTATAACCAGCCTACATGTTTCTACTACTTCACACCCAGGCAGTCCAACCTTCATACAATGTTGCCAGGTTTTCCACGCTGGTAGCTTCTGCTATTACATAATCCACCTTTGAGTAAAAAAAGTATAAGCATAAGTTAGTATATAATAAACATATAAATGCAGAATACAGTAGATAAACAAATGAACA